GGGATTGCATTGAATGTGTAGATAGCTTTGGGTAGTATTGACATTTTAACAATATTTATTCTTCCAATCCATGAGCACAGAATGTGTTTCCATTTCTTTGTGACTTCTTCAATTTCCTTTATAAGCTTTCTATAGTTTTCAGCATACAGATCTTTTACATCTTTGATTAGGTTTATCCCTAGGTATTTTATGGTTCTTGGTGCAATTGTGAATGGGATTAGTTTCTTTATTTGTCTTTCTGTTGCTTCATTATTGGTGTATAAAAATGCAACTGATTTCTGTACATTGGTTTTGTTTCCTACAACTTTGCTGAATTCATGTTGGATAGCTTAGGTTTAAACTGTAGTTCACCAGTGCCTTTTTGAGCTGCATTTGCTGTTGTATTCTTTGAGAAATTTAACATTTTTACACAAATATTATTTAGGTGAAATTGTATTCTGTGGTATTATTTATTTGTGAAGAAAATTTCCTTATTTGAACTGACTAATATGGTTTGGAGACAAAAGCAGATTTGAGATCACAGGCCTAACCCCACTAATACCTTTTACCAGTTGTGAAACCTTGGGAAAGTCACTGAATTTGCCTGAGCCTTGGTTTCTTCATTTTTTTCAAATGGGAATAAGACTAATGGACATTGTTTTCATAGGATTATATAAGATCATGTACATTATGTTGTAATATGTGGATATTATTAAGACTAAAGAAGAAATTTCTTCCTAGCCCATTCATCATTAAATACCTGTTGAGTGCACTTATGTAGAGATAGCACATTCGGTGCTGTTAATAAGGCAATGAATAGGTAGACACGAGCCGTCTTTCATGAAGTTAATACTATGCTTCTGTACTGTTCAGTATAATAGCTCCTAGCTATATGTGACTATTTAAATTATTAAGATTAAATGCAACTTAAAATTCAGTTCCTCAGTCTCACTAACTATACTTCTGGTGCACAAGAGCCACATTTGGCTAGCAGCCACCATATTGTACAGTCCAGATATGGGACATTCTCATCATTGCATAAAGTTCTGAATGGGAAAGGCTTGTGATGAGTGCTTTGAAGGAATAGTCAAATCAGAGAAAGTAATGTTTGAACTGAAAACCTGAGGATACATAGAAATTTTCTAGATAATGTGGAGGTGAAGGAAGCATTTCAGAAGGAATGAATGAAGAGCATTTGCAAAGACACTGAAGGAAGACGAAGAGAGTTAATTTTGATCCAGAAAGACTTCATGTACACAGAGTCTGTGTGGCAGGATTAGCCCCACATGGGCAGAATCGGTCTTCTTTGATTGTAATAGGAGAGGCAAAGGAGAGTATGGGTGAAATATAGGTAGGCTTGTAGGTTTTGTGGCAGAAAGTAAAGATTTTCTTGTTCTAGTAGTTCCATTTTCACTCCGAAATGTAAGGTCTTCTTTTGAAAACAAGAGGGAGAAAGGAAAGGATGGAGTTTTGAAGAGAATGGATAATGTATGAAGCAAGCCTTTATGGAGAGTGAGCAGATTAGACAGATTTAGTAAGATCCTGAATCTATAGTCATAGGAAGATCAGAGATGGAAAAGGCTTGCTAGATGGTAATTATCCAGCTAAATAAATTAATACATCAGGACACTGAGAGTGGTGCCAGCCCACAGTAAGAGTTAAATATTAGTGATTATCACCACTGCTGCCATTTGACTGATAGGAGTAACAAACAGAACAACAGAAAGGGAATGTAGCATGTTTAGCAGAATGTGACTATAATCTTGGCCTACAGAATCTATCACAGATAAAAATGGAAGTGAGACAACAGGGGGATGATGTATAGGGGAGAAGTGGAGAGATCTGGAAGTGTTTCTGGTGAATATCTGTCAGTGGGCTACTTAAGCGAGTAAGTGGAAAGGAGAAGAGGATTGCTCAGAGTGAGGTACATGAGACAGAAGAAGTAAGGGCCACAAAGAAATACTACACATAGTTCACTTGCAGGAATCCTACAGTCTAGGTAACGTGTTTATTTTTTGGTGAAAAGCAAATGTTGCTCTGTTGTCTAAGTAAATGACATCAGCAGTGGCAGGCAATCTCCAAATTACTTGTAAATTGGAACGTGGGAGTTTGACATTTTGAGAGTTTACAGTGCTTACAAAATAATATCCAAGCCTACCTTGAAGATATAAATCAAAGTATGAAAACCTGCTGAGTTTCTTATACTCATTTTCTCTGCCATCATTGCCTCACCTCCCCATCTGCAGTTCTGTTCTAGTTTAAGTGTCACACAGAAATTGATAGTAGCAATGTCCTAGCTAATCTAGATGGACAGTACTGTCCTCTAGTTCTGTTTTGTACCATGAGGACTAGGAATGGTTTTGTTTGTTCCTCCCCAAAGGTGTTCTGTGAAGCACTTTCTACTTCAATAATGAAAGTAGCTTTTGTTTCAAAAGGTTTAGGAAAATGAAATATTATAGTCTAATTCATTAATGTCATTCTTCCCTTTCGTTTTGTATTGAAGACTTCAGCGATTAGCCAAAGATCTTCTAAAACAACTACAAGTACAAGACAGTGGCTCATGGGCAAACAATAAGGTTTCTGCTTTAGATCGGACCCTAGGCGAGATCGCTAGAATATTGGAAAAAAAGGTATGTAACTAATCTCTGGCCTTTGGCCTTAATCTTCGTGATTCTTTCTCACTATGACAGGACATAGGATTATAAGGCTGACGCTCACTTATGCATTTCTTCTGGGTTTCCAAAAGCTGGTCAACCACTGATGGATTGTTTTTTCCTTTTGTTTCTGATTAATTTGGTATAGTTTTTAGTCATTTTAATTGAAATCCTCAACAGCAAAAACAAGTCATATTTTTCCACACACAAACAAAATAAAATAAATTTAAAAGGAATCACAGTAATAAAGATATACAATTTTATGCCAGACAGTGTAAAACTTTAAATTATAAAGCTCATAAATCACAACCAGATTTCCATAAGCACCAATTTCCTTACTGTTTCCAAAAGAAGATTTGGCAGTTTTCTTTAATGACTTAGAGTCATAAATGTTTTTGTGACAGTTAAAACATTCTTAATGATCTTTAAATGATCTTTATTATTCACTATAGAAAACTTTAAATATATCAAGAAGAAATAAACTCCCTATAATGCCCACTGTCGATATTTTATTGTATTTTCTTTTAATCTTTTTACTGGACATTTCTTACATTATTTTATCTGACTACCTGTATCATGAATATTTTCTTGTGTCTTTAAAAATTCATTGTAACTAAATGAACATACCATAGTTTACACAATTTATATCACTTTGGTGGTTTCTAATTTTTCTATTTGATGTAATAGCTATCTTTGTTTATTATCTAAATTTTTTTGTTTTTTGTTTTCTGGGTTTAATATTTATAACATTTGAGATCTACAAAAAGAATGTAGTGACAAAAATAACCCAAATATAATGAACACCTATGAACTTACCATGAAACTTAAAAACTAGACTGTTCCCAGTACCTCTGTGGTTCCCAATGCGATCCTTCCATATCCCATTCCTGTCTCTGCTTCCCCTGAAGGAAATACTGTACAGTATTAAGGCAGTATCTTTTCTGTCTTTTTTTTGTTTAAAAAGAAGAATATTTCTTTGGTTTTTAAGAGCTTTATTTCTTTATCAAATGAATGTTTTCCTAAGTAATATATTACTGTTTTGCTTGTATTTGAACTTTATAAAATATACTGTAGACTTCTGTCAGTTTTTCAATCAAAATTATGATTCTAAGTTTTATTTAGGTTTACAATGTAGCTGTTTTTCATTCATTTTCTCTGCTGTATAGTGAGTACTTCACTGTGTTAATTATTACACAGTTTTTAAAATCTCTTTTCCTGACATGGACATTGTTTTTCAGGATTGAATTCATTCAGGGTTGAATGTGTATGGGGGTGTGTGTGAGAGAGAAAGAAAAAGAGATTAGAAACAGTGCTGCTCAGACATTCATGTATCAGAGCAAATGAGCAAGAATTTCTCCAAAGTGGGGAGCCTTAGACTTTAGTCTACATCAGAATCACCTAGGACTTGTTAAAACACACCCCACCTTGGGTTTTTGACTCAGTGGGTCACAAGAATTTGTGTTTCATAGGTAACACTGATGCTGCTGGTCCAAGGGTCATATTTTGAGAATCATTGCTCTTGTCTAGGACATATGCCTCAGGGGTGGAATTACTGGGTTTTTAAGCATATGAATGACTACCTTTACAAGATAGTGTTCAGCTGCATTTTGGCATCAGACAGTACAGTCCTCTGTAGGAACTAGAGCAGCAGAGCCACAAAGAGTCAGTTCTTCAGTATAACACATCCCTTTCAGAGTGTCGGAGAGTTCAGAGACTGCTAATCGTCAGACGTGTGCTAGATGGAGTGTTTGGAGGCTTGATATGCTTTAGAAAAATGTCTGTTTTTTAAATTAGCACATACTAATTATTTTTATTTTTATAAAGGGTAATTATACTTCGGACTACAGTGTACTTGAAGATACCACCATGTGCACCTTATCTCATGAATATTGTTTTAGATTGAAGTAATCACAGAATTTTTGAGGAAAAAGTAAAATGATCTATGTAAGAAAGGTATTCAGTATGAAAATCTAAGTAAAGTTATTCTGTTCACAAAGGAGCAATTTACTGGAATACTACTGATTCCTTATAATTTGGGGGAGAAAAATGTAGTCTGGCTCCCAGTCTAAATGGTCTGTGTCAGAAACCTTGCTGTAAAGCTGTCCTTAGAGTATACACTGCAGGACCACCTGAGAGTCTAAACTTACCTACAATAAGATCCTTTTGCTATTTTTATAACAAATCCTTTTTACTTAGCCAGGACAGACTCACTTTATGTGAAATTCTCTTCATAGAGTTATACTGACATTTCAGTGTAATTCAGCTGATATTTATGATTTCAGTCTAGAAATTGTAAATAACCATTCCTTTTTGTTTGGAAAACTGCCTGGAGTAACAAAATCATTAGAGCCAAAGCCAGGTACCCAGTGAAGGATTTGAAGACAGCCTAGAAGTGACAAGGGTGAGACTGGTGGAACTTGAGCAAGCACTCACTGAGGAATGGTGGGAGATGAATCTTGAGCTCTTCACCCTCCTAATTGAGATCTCAACACACTGATGCTTTCTGTTAGTGCTTTGATACAGTTTTGCTTAGATACTTTTTCTGAAGTTCTGAGAACTACGTAAGAACTAAGAGGTTAAACTTGTGATGTACAAAAACATTCCTGTAATGAGAGAGATCAGAAAACTGAGGAAACATGAGTATTGTAGTACTTACTCTTTGTCTCAGGTCCCTTCCAACTTTTTGGGTTCTCTGTTTCTGTTTAGAAAGAAAGAGTTTGTGGGGCGCCTGGGTGGCGCAGTCGGTTAAGCGTCCGACTTCAGCCAGGTCACGATCTCGCGGTCCGTGAGTTCGAGCCCCGCGTCAGGCTCTGGGCTGATGGTTCGGAGCCTGGAGCCTGTTTCCGATTCTGTGTCTCCCTCTCTCTCTGCCCCTCCCCCGTTCATGCTCTGTCTCTCTCTGTCCCAAAAATAAATAAAAACGTTGAAAAAAAAATTTAAAAAAAAAAAAAAAGAAAGAAAGAGTTTGTAAGCTGTGTTGCATATGTTATAGTTTTTAACAAATTCTACCTAGTTCTGTAAAAAAAAAGTTGGTGGTCTAGGGTACTTGTACCTATTCTACTAACAAAAACATTTAAAAATACAGGAAAAAATCAAAAGTAACTTTCTTAAAAGAATCAAATTGCTAAGAAGGAATTGAAAAATTACCAGGCCAAAGAAAAACCAAGAATTTGGGAAGTTGTATTCAGTTATAACTAAATGCCCCAAGGGGAGTTGCCAGGCTGGCAAATGTGAATTATGATTTGCAGGCCTCATGAAGTGGGGACAAAAGTAAAATCCTTAGGGCTGCCTAAGGTGTGAAATCTACTAGATTTTCTCTTAACAAAGATAGACTACCATAACCTATTCCATGATATAATCATAAACCCTCTCACCCCATCCTCTGAGACTGCAAAAGAAGTGCCTTGGTATAATGCAGAAGTTATTACTATAATCCAGCCCTGGTGTCGACTTGTAGCTCAAATTCACATCATCTGTATTATTTCAAATAGTGAAGTGAGTTTAAAGTAGTTCCAGATTGATCAGTGATGTCCCTAGGAACTTGGCAGAAGGAAATAGATGCAAATCCTCATTTGAAAAAGACACCTTTATCCTAGGCTTCAGATAATTTCTCTCAAATGACTTTATAAGAACAAGTAGCCACAGTCCAAAAAAGGGACACAAAACTAAATGAATCATTATGAGTAATAACTAGCTGAAACTGGAATTGAAAGACTTTGTAAATACCAGTTACAGATTATAAAACTATGTTTTTTTGTTTTTTTATCTTTTAAGGAAATAAAAGGCTTGAAAATATCTTCAGTTATGGACAGAGTAGGTAATTCAGAACAGTTCTCCTATTGATGCCAATTAATAAAGCTAGGCAAAATGTAAACTGGAACTGAATTGCTAACAAAGTAGTGAAGAATTACTAGGCCAAGATCTAGGAACAAGGCATTTGGGGGCTGGGTACAATTAGTGATCCAAAAGAAGTGGATGAGAAGCATCCATTTTAACCCAGGGCTAAAAATGGATGGGCTAAAAATGTTGGAGTCTAGGACTATCAGTGGTAGAGACTGTGGCAAAACCCCCATATTTTGGGTTGAAATCTTAAAGGGCTGCACTAGGTGAGAGGGTAGATTGGAAGTATACCAATCATTGCACAGACCACAGCTCAACTTCAAATCATCTGGGTAGCTGAAAAAAAGTAGTGACCTTGGATTGCTAAGACCTCCAGGTGCCTCACAGAAGTAAATGGAAAATGTACTCTGGAGGAAGATAATATCAACCTAAGTCTCAAATTATTTCATTAAATAAATTCAAATACAGTGTCTGACAGAAAAAGGTAATTAAGCACATAAAGGGGCAAAACAACATGGATAAAAATCAGTGGAAACAGACCAACAGGGGCTATACTTCTGTGTTCAACAATATAAGTATTATTTTTTAAAACATATACCACATTTTAAAGAAAATAGAAATTTAAGAACTGAACATTTTAATGTTTATTTATTTTGAGAGAGAGCATGCATGTCAGTGGGAGAGGGGCAGAGAGAGAAAAGGAGAGAGAGAATCCCAAGCAGGCTCTGTGCTATTAGCACAGAGTCTGACTCAGAGCTCATTCTCACAAATCGTGAGATCATGACCTGAGCTGAGATCAAGAGTCGGATGCTCAACTGACTGAGCCAGCCAGGTGCCCCGATTACTGAACATTTTAGTAATCAAAATTAAGAAAATTATGCATCACATAACAGCAGAATAAATCCACTGAAGAAAAAATTAGTATATTCTAAGTCATAAGAATCTGGACTAAAACATGGAAAAATATATGAAAAATACAGAAAAGATTATAAGAGGCATATTGAATATAGTGAAGCATTTAATTTATGTATAATAATCCAGGAGGAGGGGCGCCTGGGTGGCGCAGTCGGTTAAGCGTCCGACTTCAGCCAGGTCACGATCTCGCGGTCCGTGAGTTCGAGCCCCGCGTCGGGCTC